AAGAACAAATGATACTCTATAAGAAAGATACCTGCACCCGAATGTTTATAGCAGCACAATTCACAATTGCAAAGATGTGGAAACAACCCAACTGTCCATCAGTACATGAGTGGATTAATAAAATATGGTATATGTATACCATGGAGTACTATTCAGCTTTAAGAAACAATGTTGATATAACACCTCTTGTATACTCCTGGATAGAGTTGGAACGCATTCTGCTAAGTGAAGTATCACAAGAATGGAAAAACAAGCACCACATGTACTCACCATCAAATTGGTATTAACTGATCAACACATAAGTGCACATATAAGAGTACCATCTATTGGATGTTGGGCAGAGGGGAGGGAAGGGGGGGAGGAGGGGACGGGTATATGCATACACAAAGAGTGCAATGCACACCATCCGAGGGATGGACACACTTGAAACTCAGACTTGGGGAGGGGGCAAGGGCAACATACATAACCTAAACATCTGTACCCCCATAATATGCTGAAATAAAAAAAAAAGTATCTGAGAGAGAGCCTCCTGCAAGTTCTTTGTCCAGTTCCCTAGTGCTGTGTATGTCTTTATTGTTTCCTCAAGGAACTGAGGGGCAGGGAGTATGTCAGAGTGGGAGGTAAAGTGGCAAGAGATTGGAGAATGCTAAAAGTCTAGTAAAGGTGCTAATTTATGTCAGAATGATGATGTTGCCATAATAAAATGCCAGCACTTTGGTAATGATAATAGTATACTAGAATACTAAAATATCAAAAAACTAGACTTGTACTTAACTGATTTGGGAACTGTGACATTCTCTGCTGAGGTTCTGGAAAGAACTTCTAAAATCGATATGAAAATGCATTCTATAACTAAAATACTTCTAATTTTTTTCTAAAATCTTGAAATTTTTTAGTTGTGAATTAGTGTATACGTAAGTTTTATAGATAACTGTTATTCAAACAAGCATGCCAAGATTGATCTTTATGAGCTTGTATTTTAGAACTTGTGATAATGTTAATAAACTTCATTATAATATGGCTTTTACTACATAGGTTTTAGGAATGCTGCATATTAAATCATTCTTTTAAAATAACTGCATGTGGCAGAAATAGAGTAATTCTCCATATACAGCTCATACTACTTGATAAAAGTATTCCAGTTCATATAAAAATTGTATACTTTTGTATTACTGCTATTAGATATATAGTTGTTTGGGGGATTCTGGGGTTTTTTTGTTGTTGTTGTTATTGTTGTTCTTTTCTCTTTTGTCCTTAATCTGTATCACCCTTTCCCCCCAAAGTTGAGTAAGGGATAAATAACCAGGAAAATAAGGGAGAAAAGGAATAGATAAAATATATACTCAAAGGCATCTGCAGTTCATTTTTCACAGTATTCCTTTTAGTCTTTTTCAATTCACAGGATTTTGTCTTTTATTTGTTACCGATTACATGTTGCGATTATATCTTAATTTATATAATCATTTCCTATTGTTGGACATTTATGTTTTCCCCGTTTTTTACTGTTGTGAATAATGTGATAAACATAAGCTTTTATGTATTTTCCTAAGTGGAATTACTGACTCACCAGGAATGAATCTTTAGAGTTTCTGATAATAACTGTCAAGTCAGTTGTCTCCTAATACGGCTTTAATACAAATCATAAGCTTATATTAGTGCTAGTTATAATGAATGACAAACTAAAATTAGTATTGTATCTTTTCTCATTAGGGAGTTCTGGGAAATCGTTCATTCATTTACAGATGAGCAGAAAAGACTCTTCTTGCAGTTTACAACGGGCACAGACAGAGCACCTGTGGGAGGACTAGGGAAATTAAAGATGATTATAGCCAAAAATGGCCCAGATACAGAAAGGTAATTATTAAGTTGTGACTACATACCTACCAAAAACCGTGCATACCACATCACACACATGTGAAGTGTCCTTCATCATATCTTCTGAGCATGTTTGCAATTTTATATAGAAATCTCCAAATTACATGAAACATTAGTGGAGAGAATATTTTGCTATTATTGTGTGAGGGAACTTTTTAAAAATTGGCCTAGTTAAATATTATGGGATTTACATTGGCTTCAAATTGTTCAAATTAGTATGATTCCTTCATTTTTTGGATTCACAATTTATTAATTGAAAGCCATCTTATATAATAGTCAATATAGACTTGTTTAAGTGAGGCTCAGGAGGTTGTTCAGCATTAGATTATGCTAGAATCCCTAGTTTCATAATTTTGGCATTTAACTGTATTCAACTCTCAGTATTTTGAGACATGAATAGGGACCATACATGATTTAATGGTTTAAACATACATTCACATTTCTATTAGTATTCTACATTATTTAATACATCATGGTGTTAATGTAATGTAAATTTATTTATATTCGTTATCAAGTCATTTTCGTAGTCATATTGCTGGTGTATTTCTAATAAGCATTAAAGAGCACAGACTTTGAAATCTTGAAAACCAGATTTGAATATTTTCTCCACCTTAGAGTAAGTTACTTTTCAGTGACTTTAACTCTAAAGTTGGTTTACTGATATCCACTCTGTAAAGCTTCTTGTGCGAAGATTTAGTTACATGAACTACAAGGGTTAGGTACATAAAACACTATCTGGTATGCACTTATAACTCAGTGGATGCAATGTGTTAGCAGCAGCGTTAACATTGAGTAATTTATATTCTCAGTATTTCATAGCAAAAAGTTTATCCTTACGCTTTGCATTAATGTAGTTTGTATCGCTAAACATCTCGACTATATATCATCTAAAAATAGGAGCATATAATACTGAGTATATTTCCCATTGCTTACTATTTTCCTGTTTTCCCCCTTTCTCTCTATTTAGGTTACCTACATCTCATACTTGCTTTAATGTCCTTTTACTTCCGGAATATTCAAGCAAAGAAAAACTTAAAGAGAGATTGTTGAAGGCCATCACATATGCCAAAGGATTTGGCATGCTGTAAGACAAAACAAACAAAAAAAAAAAAAAAAAAAGGAAGAAAGAAAAAAAGAGAAAAAAATTTAAAAATCTAATAAATATAACAAGAGAGGGATAAATTTCTGATGGTGATAGTGTCCCAGTACAAAAAGGCTGTAAGATAGTGAACCACAGTAGTCACCTATGTCTGTGCCTCCCTTCTTTATTGGGGACATGTGGGCTGGAACAGCAGATTTCAGCTACGTATATGAACAAATCCTTTATTATTATTATAATTATTTTTTTGCGTGAAAGTGTTACATATTCTTTCACTTGTATGTACAGAGAGGTTTTTTCTGAATATTTATTTTAAGGGTTAAATCACTTTTGCTTGTGTTTATTACTGCTTGAGGTTGAGCCTTTTTGAGTATTTAAAAAATATATACCAACAAAACTACTCTCCCAAGGAAAATATTGCCACCATTTGAAGACCATGTAACCTTCAAGTATGTACTGTTTTTGTCCCTGTATCTAACTCAAATCAGGAACTATTTTTTTTTTTTTTAAACGATTTGCTTTTGAAACTTGAAGTCTTGGAAACAGTGTGATGCAATTACTGCTGTTCTAGCCCCCAAAGAGTTTTCTGTGCAGAATCTTGAGAATCAATAAAGATGGAAGGGAGAATTTGGAATGTTTTAATTGCAGCCCTCAGAACTTAGTAACAGCACAACAAAATTAAAAACAACCCATGCCACAGTATGTTGTCTTCATGTGTCTTGCAATGAACTGTATCAGTAGCCAATCCTCTTTCTTAGTATGAAAGGACAGGATTTTTTTGTTCTTGTTGTTCTTGTTGTTTTAAGTTTACTGGGGAAAGTGCATTTGGCCAAATGAAATGGTAGTCAAACCTACTGCAACAACATTATAAAGTTTGTTGTTTACTATAAACAAAAAGCATGTGAAAGTGCACTTAAGATAAACTTTTTATTAATTAACTTGTTACCTAGATTTTAAATAGACAATCCAAAGTCTCCCCTTCATGTTGCCATCATCTTGTTTGATCAGCAATTTTATCAAGGCACATGATCAGTGTTGCAACCTAATGGAAAGGATGGCTACTATACCTTGTGTTATTTAATCATACAATAAGCTGACCTGGAACTGAATGAAACTATTACTCCTAAAAATTACATTGTATATCCCCAAAGGTTAAATTTTACTTCAAAAAGTGTTAAAGATTACTTTCATGTGCTATGGAAAAGTACAAATAGATTTAAATTACTGGATATTCAGAAGTATGTAGTTTCCCCTTTCCTAGTCTTCTGTATCTGTGATGTTAATTTCTTTTATTGCATTACAAAATAAAAGGATTATGTATTTTTAACTAAGGAGAGACATATTGATAATATCCTTTTACTGCAAGCTATGGCTAATGTGCTGAGCTTGTGCCTTGATGATTGTTTTAACTGATTACTGTACATCAACCTGATGATTTATTTGAAATTGACAGGAAAAATATGGCTTTCAAATCATTGGAGGGGAAAAAGGATGTCTTTCAGAATTATTTTAATTCTTTTAGTAATTGAGACAGAACTGTTAATGTACCATAATGCTAAATAAAACAGTGGTACTTTTCACCATAATTTAGTGGAAAAAGAAGACAGTGCTTCCATAATGTGATAAGGTAACATGAAGTTTTCTTGGCCAACCTTTAGAACAGTGCTAAGGTACATACACTACCTTGATGCAAGGGACCTTCAAGTGACTGTAGTCATCTTGAAAAACTTCTCATCCACTGTGCTTCTTCTGTATAATGAAAGTGAGAAGAAAAAAAATTAAATACTCTGGGGGCATTTTATGTAATAAATTCGTGAAGAAATTTGTGCTCTTCAGTTCTCCAGTTTTATTATCACTACAGTATTGAAATTCTGCAGTTGTAATAATGTATCTGTATTAAAGTTTTTAAGTGATAATTAAGTAGGTTATCAGATACAGAATTCGCATAAAATAGTCTTTTAACAAAAGTCAAAAATAAACCTCTTAAAGTTTTAAGAGAAATTATTGGTTACACATACTAGCTGCTCTCACTTGCTTAGTAACTATGCTGGGCATCTTACTGCTTCTCTTATCTTTGCTACCTTTTCACTACTGTTCACTAGAATGTCACTGAACAATATTTTAAGAAAGAGGAAAGCAATAGAAATTTTGACTGTAGTGGCTACTTTACCCCACATGTTATGCTATAAAAGTGCTTTTTGGCCCAGATGTTCTCTCACATATTTTGGTTTTCTTTGAATTGGCCCATAATCTTTAGGAAGCTCGGAAGGGAAAAAATCAACCATAAACTAAAGTAATTGGCTTTCCCAATAAATGTAAACTTTCTGTTACCTTTTATTATTATAGAACATTTCAAACATAAAAACAGCTTGCAGCCAAATTTTTCTGGACTCTGGCAGCTCTAGCAAATGAGATGGGTGTCCTGACCCTACTTTCCTGGGCTGTGGTTAATTGCATGATAAAATCCAATTACAATTTTGTTAGCTTTATTTTGGGATATATGCCTCTGTAGGGAGCTACATATCAAAAAGGAACTTGAAAATTAGGCTTCAAACAGAGAATTTGCTAATGTTATTCATTTCCCCTTGGCACAGACATCTTATTGGAAAGAAAAATGGCTGTAATTGGGCACTAATCACTCCCTGTTCCCGTAAGAACATCGCTGTGCTGGGATTTTAGGCCCCTTTTGGGAATTTGTTTTCAAAAATTTCATAGACTGTCAAGGGGAAGAACTGTATTTCCAAGCCTGTGCTGTCTTCAGTCTTGTTCGCCTTACCTGCTTATTGCAAAAATATTTTTCCTGACCTTCCACCAGCATCCATCTAAGGACCATCTGTACTCTTCCGACCCTTCCTGAGCCACCTGAGAATCCAAAAACACAGCTTCCACTTGTACCCCTCTTACCTCCTTTTATCCCACAGTGTTAGTGTGTAAAGAATTGCCTGGGGAGGCTGGAGGGTTTTATAAGTACAAAGTCCTAAGCTTTTCCTCCTCTTCCTGTTCAATCCTGTGGGTGGGCATTTGTTAATCACTGTAAGATTTTGATGAGGGTGTGGGTGGATTTCACTGTGTGAAAGGCTGTTAATCCAGTGCTGTTTCACTAAAAATGTTCTCCTCAAGAATACTCATAAACTCCTAATAACTCTTATGATTAACCTTAGCAATACCCTAGACTTGGGCTTCAGCTTCTCTGCTTTTTTTCCCATCCCAGTTTATCCAAATCCTAGATGGATACTCCTCCAGTTCTACTTAAAGTTCTTTCCTGTACTTGCCCAATTCTTTCTAGTTAACTTCAGTCACTCCCAAAGATTCTTCCCCAATTTCTTATCTTCTGCTCAGACCTCTATCTCCAGGATGTCTTTCTGGTACCTCCAAAGTCAGTACACCTGAAAATGAAACTCTTAATATTGCACCTGTACTGACCATTCTTTTTTTCTCTTTAAAATTGTCACCTTCACCCCAATTATCAAACTCTCTTATCCCTCAATTGTCACAGGTTGTCAGTTATTTCCCCTCAGGTCCCTCCCATCTCTCCTCCTTTATTATACTTCCTTTCATGCCCTGATCCTCTGATTCATGTGGACATTCTTCGTAGCTTCCTAACTTAACTCTCTGACTCTAATCTCCTCTTCCAATCCTTTTTATTCTGCTAAAACACAATTTTGCTAATATTAATATTCTCTGTCCAAAAACTTTTCTTTGAATAAGATCTGCAAGTCTGGCATCCAGCGCCCTCCACAGACTAGGCCCCAACTACCTTTCCAATTTTGCTTTCTATTACAGGCACCTCTCTCTGCATCCCTACCCAGCATCTTCACTTGTCATGCCTAATTATTTTATTAATATACTTCTCAAATACTCTTCCAGACCAAATTTTAAAAATACCTCACCCATAAAGACTTCATCAACCCCCAAAGTGCCTCCGATGCATCTGTGGTAACACAGCATGGTGGGGCACATTTCTTATTTGAACAGTGAGGAGTCACTGGAATTCCTATGGTGTGTTTCAGGGGCTGCTCTTGATAAGATCTTTTCCACATTTCAGTTTTGTTAATGAAGCTTCCGTTTGGTTTTTTTTTAACCATTGCCTGGATTGTAAGTTAGTTCACAATGGAGATTGTCATTTTTGTTTTATCCATTGCCTTTCATATGTAGTAGGTGTGCAGTGACTTCGTTAAAGGATTCCGTCCATCTTTCTCCTAGCTTGTCAGTGTTCCCATTGGAATGACTGAAAACAACCCAGCATGCAGTAGAATGTTCAGTGAAGCTTCTTGTTTGATCCATTTTTGCATATGGTACATTGTAGTGATCTAACTTTACTCTTTGGTATGTGAATATCCAGCTGTCCAAGTGCCAGTTGTAAAGACTATTAATTCTTCAGAATGGTCTTGGCACCCTTGTGGAAAAACAATTGACCGTAAATATAGGACTTTATTTCTGGACCCTTAGTCATATTCCATTGCTCTATATGTCTATCCTTATGCCAGTGCTACATTGTCTTGATCACTGTAGCTTTGTAGTAAGTTTTGGATTTGGGATGTGTGGATCTTCCAACTTTGTTCTTTTTCAAGATCATTTTGTCTATTTTGGGTCCCTTGCATTCCATATGAATTTTAGGATCAACTTGTCAATTTTTGTGAAACAGGCATCTGGGATTTTGATAGGGATTGTGTTGAATCCATAGATCAATTTGAGGAATATTGCTATTTTAACAGTATTAAGTTTTTCAATCCATGAACTTTCTTTTTCTTCCCATTTGTTTAGGTCTCTAGTTTCTTTCAATGATGTTTGATGTTTGATAGATTTTAGTGTACAAGTCTTTGGTTAATTTTTTCTTAATTTTTTATTCTTTTTCATGCTGTTACAGTTATTTTCTAATTTCCATTTTTGGATTATTCATTGTTACTGTCTAGAAGTACAGTTGATTTTTGTATAATCTTGTATATTATAGCTTTTCTGAACTCATTTATTCTAATTTTTTTGATTCTTTAGTATTTTCTGTATATAAAATCATGCGTCTGTGAATAGAAATACTTCTTCCTTTCCAATCTGGATTCTTATTTCATTTTCTTGCCTAAGTGCCCTGGCTAGCACCTCTAGTAAAAAACTGAATAGAAGTGGCAAGAGCAAATGTCTTTTTCTTGTTTCTGATTTAAGGGGGGAAAGCACTGTCTTTCACCATTAAATATGATGTTAGCTGTGGATTTTTCATAGATGCTTGGGGTTGATGAAATTCTCTCCTATTTCTAGTTTGTTGAGTGTTATTATCAAAAAAGGGTATTGAATTTTGTCAAATGCTTTTGTATCTATTAAGATTGTCATGTAGTTTTTGTCCTTTATTCTGTTAATATGTTGTATTATATTGATGGATTTTGTATATTGAACCAACCTTGCATTCCTGAGATAATCCCACTTGTCCATGCTACATAAACCTTGTTCTATGCTGCTGGATTTGGTTTGCTAGTATTTTATTTAGAATATTTGCATCTGTATTCACAAGATATACTAGTCTGTAGTATTCTTTTCTTGTTATGTCTTTGTCTGGGTTTGGTCTCATAGAACGAGTTGAGAGCTTCCCTCCTCCTTCAACCCCGTGAGGTATGTTTCAAATGAACTACTTACAGACCCTGAGCTTTGATCTTTAGATGCTGGGGAACACAGAAATGGTACTTGACTGTTAATGTAAAGAGTTCTAG